CATCCGCATAAAGCAAGCTATAGGAGCTCTGAAAATCGGTCAGTTGGAGACCTTTAAGGTTAACCCTTCGGATCCCTGACAATGAGCGATCAGCAGCTGCCCGCAACTTCAACACCTTGCCCACTTTTATGGCCCATCAACAACGGGTATATGCCACAGTATCTTTCTCCACATTGTTGCCTTGCCTTGCTGCCGTTTTTTAGTTTTTTATGACTCAGCCAGGCGAAGATGCATTTTGCATTTCACTTTAATTCAAAACGACTTAATTTCTTTCCCGACTCGATGAGTGGGAACTGAAAGAAGTGGTTGCCTTGCCCCCCAACTCTCTCATATCCCAGGTTGCAGGTTCCTCTGTTGGTGCGAGAAATGCTTATAAATGCTCAATGGCGTAGCCGATTAATTGCACATAAAAATTAACAACAATCAGCCGAGCGGCAACAATAACTATCGAACTGCAGTTGCCCCAACTACCAGGGGAAATGTGAGATCTAGAGATGGCCGAGTGACTTAGGTTTAGAGATTGAGATATAAAATTTGGTAAAACAAAACCTTTCAATAAGTTTGCATTATTTTTTCAAAATATTTACAACTTTTTCCACCTTTTCTGATCTCATAACCCACCTTCGATCACGTTGTCATCGCTACTGATCACACCTTGGGAATCGTTATATCGTTATCGCTTCCCCCCTCAGACAATGTTGCACTTTGTATGGCTTAGGCCACAAAAAGAAACCCTCCTCCTCGTGGCTCGTTTTATGTGCACCAAATTGAGTCATAAAATACATTTTCACTTCGTCGACAGTTTCGGTTTCGAGCCATCCGACAGTTAAGTGGTTGCATTTGGAAATGCTTTAAGCATATTTTTATGGCCAATGCAAATGTGGCAAATGTCGCCTGGTCGGTCGTTTAGCCAACTTGCTCTCCTAATTACGAGCCCCATCACCAGATAAGGCAAATATGCGAGAGAGCCATTAGTTTATCTACAAATTGGTCAAGAAAATTTCAAAGATATTGAAGGGGTTTGGTTCTGAGGCAGTTCTGTTTTTGGCACGAGCTAAGATTGTTAGCAGGAATATAGATGGATTTTAGGGCATATTAAAAAGATTTTTCGAATAAATTGAAGGCAACTTAACAGTTTTTAACATCTAAAATGCAGCTTTATGAAAGTTACACTAAAATAAGAGCTTATACCATCATCCCCAAAGTTATTCCTTGAAATTTTATAGCTCTCCCTCCCCGAAAAGGATTACCTTTTTTGTCCAGATTGAGCTATCAAATAAAATCAAAGTGAGATCGCAGCGAGGTGTTGATTAGTCGACCGGGCTAAGCTGGGCCATAAAAAACACAAACCAAGCCACGAATAAGCCCCAAATCCGGACAGGTGCCAAAAGGGGGAGGACCAATCGAAGTTCGGATTCGGAACCCTTCATGATCCTTACATATACACACATATATAGAAGGATCCTCCAATGGATTTATAGGTGCCGGCAGGCAGTAAAAAATTTAAATAGCATCCATTTAGTAGGGGGGGCCGGGCGACATCAATTTTTAAAACGAGCGCCGCCTTTGGGGAAAAGAAGAAGGGGGAGCCCACAGGCCAACGAAATTGGAATCAGGGTTTATGTTTATCCTGCAGTATAGTTGCTGTTGTTATTGTTGTTATTGTAGCTGGCATGCTGACTGATCTGGAGCAGCGATAAATCGCTGGTCAGGACGGCAGGGGGTTAAAGGGGCAGGAGAACACCTTTGTTGGCCACGTTGTTGACAAATCAGTTGGCAACAACGTCGTGGCCATCGACGGCACACGCGACCAACAAAAACAAGAGCCAAATAAAAAACAAGCCAAACAAACTAAAAAGCAAGTCAACGTTGTGGAAAACGAAAGGTTAAATACCCTAGAAAAGAGGGAAAACTTACATACTGAATATGCCTTTCTTTATATTTAAGTTGGATTTATATTTTAGTTTGGATTTAGCTTGATTTTAAATGAAATCTATTTTTATATTTTAAGTTTCTTTAAATATCTTATTTAATATCCCAAATAACCCCCCAGAAAAAAGAGTATTTACGATAAAAATGAAACCAAACCAAGGCAAGTCACAGCCTCAAGAAAGAAGACCTTGTTTCGAGACGGCCCAGCAAGAACCTTTGTCACCTCCGGAGTCCGGACCCATTTACCCCCACGTTGCAAGATCGCTGACTGTGGCTGTGCCTGTGGATCTGGATCGTTGAGGGTTTTCTCGGCGAGGGCAGCACATTAAAAGTAAATTAACTTATCAGCGACAACGATCAGTTATTTTATTACGTTTGTCCACGCAGTAACACGAACATTATAATATCAAAGATGCCGATTAAGATTCCACACGGCCCCGCAGGGTCTCCCTGCCCGCTACATCTCCAAATCCGAATCCACAGAAACAGATCAGAAATGGAAATGGACGTACTTTGGGATCAGCTTGGACAGGAGTTGGGCCTGGAGAAGGTGCATGTGGGTTGCTGTTGTTCAGGAGTAGGAGTATATACCGGGGAAATGTATATCACATTTTGAGACAGAAAGTTTAAGGATTCATAAAAGACTATAACGCCCTTTCTTCCCTTTAATCTTAATGTGTCTAATAACTCTTAATATGTATATTTCTCCTGAACAGATATTTGCAGTGCAAAAAGAGCTACTCAATGGACGACCATTTGGCCAATTAAGGCGACTTTCAGATGGGTAGATCCCAAGATAGATAGTTAGATAGATGGATAGATATCCCATAGATAGATAGAAGGCTGGCTCCTCATGGACAACTGTTAAGCAGTTCGTAGAAGAGACCGGAAAAACGCTGCCAACTGTCCAAGTTGGCTGGCAACTGGCCAGTAATCGAGGGGCAAAGGGGGTGTGGCATTGGGACAACTGCGCATTGCGGTTTCTGCATTCGTACATTTCTTTTTCATAATTTCTACCAGCTAGCACTTAAAGAAAAATAAATAATACATATTTTTCTATATTTTATATATTTATAAGAATTTTTAGTAATATTTTCTATATCAAATATATAAAAAAAAAATAATAAAACAAAGAATTTTATATGGAAATAATATATTAGCTCCTTTTTAAAAATATTTTCAGAATACAGATTAGATTTTGGAATCATCAATTTGTAAAGAAATCTATTCCTTAACCCCAGAAAATTCCCAAATAATATAAAGAATCAAATTTAAAGATTAAAGTAACACATATTTTCTCTCCGTGCTGACATTGCTGCTCAAATGCAATTATTTTAAGCATTCAATTGGCATTGGCAGTTCGAACTCGTACTCGTACTTGAATCGACCGCAGACCGCAGGATATGCGACTGGGCTGGCAATTATATGCATTTAAGTGCAATAACCGTCATCAGGACGAAGGACTCGGTTGACTTTTCCTCGCATTTGATGCTCCGCCAGACGCTAATTATTTTAATGCGCTCTGGTAATTGAAGCGCGCGCTTCAGTCTGCAGTCCCTCCTCCTGCCTCCTGCCTTCTGCCTCCTGCCTCTCGACGCTCTAATTTCCCCGCCACTAATGACCTTTCCAGGTCACCTGACCTTTTCCCCCCCTGTTCCGTTTTCTCAGCTCTGAGTTCTTGTTCTTCTTTGACCGGAATCAATATCAATCAAACGGAAACCGCCGCTCTCGACAAATTGCATTTGTTCATCCTCCGCTCCGCTTCCCTTCCTGCAATTAGTCCTTGGTTAACATGTGGCCACCGACACCCAAAAAGAACAACAAAAAAGGTGACCCTAACCGGCCTATTGGCGTGAAATTTTAATTGCCATCTCGTTGTCTGGGAGCGCGGAGTCGAAGAGAGAGCGACGCCCATTTGTCGGTGGCTGAAATACTTTCAAGGTTTCCCATCAGGAAAATCGAACACTTGTCTTTCTTACTAGAGATTCAAAAATTTAGAGCCTTAACTCTTTTTAGATTAAAGATAATATTACCAAGAGGTCCATAAGAAGAAATATAACAACATTAAGTCAGCAACTATGAAAGATAGCTTTTAGCTGCTACCTTGAGGCCTCTTAAAATATAACTTTTCATGTAAATTGGTAAGTATACAGACCTTCAACCAAGTTTTTTCTAATTTTTTATAATTTTTTTACACTTTTTTCTTAATGAAATCTTCATAAAACAACCAAAAATGAATGTATTTTAATGGGAATAACATTTTCTTAAATGTTTTTTAGCCCTTTTAAAAGTTGCATTCAAACTTTATGCAATTTGGAAAAATAAAAATTTTTCATTTTTTAGAAAATGTTGTAAGGGGTACCCCTATCCTAAAATGCAAAATTTTGAAAAAATTTGAAAACTCCAAAATCCAAAATTCATGAACGCAATTTTTTTTATTTTTTATCAATTAACATAAAACTATTTACTTTTTTAGATTCCGATAACCCTGGGCTGAGCTACAGGCATTAAAAGTATAGAAAGAGGAGGTTTTTGTGAATTTTTGAGAATTATTTTTCAGGACTTCCTAACCTATGTTTAGGACCTATTTTTCTGGTAATTTCCTTAGTTAACAATCCCTATATCCACCCTAGAGGAACCCCAAATAAATTACAGCCCCATTTTGGGCCACTTTCAAGGCCCCAAAGAGCCGAAAAGAGAGCAGATCCATGCCATTTGACCGACATTTGATGCTATAAAAAACTCCGCTGAGAGACCATATAGCTTATTTCACCACACTTCGTGGTGGATTCACCACAAACGCCGGCAAACATGGCGCTGTGTGTAAGCGAGACACCACCGATGAGATGGCAATAGCCAAAGAAACGAAAGGCAAATACTCAGCGTTGGAATAGCTGTCTCTTTCTGGCCTTTTGTAAGGCTAAGCGACCCAACCACCACCTATGACAAAGTGGCAAAATTGTTGCCGCCACTGCTGCCTCAGTCGCAGTCGACGTAGACAGCATCGCTGGCAGCGGCGGATCGGGCAGGTGCGTTTCATAAACGCTCAGTCTCGTTTTGGCAGTCAAGCCGCTCACGACGTCGCTGGGTGAAAAGTTCAGATAAAGGCCAAGAAAGCAAAAATAATTCACAAAACTCAGAACTCAGAAAATCCCAAACAAGAAACTCCAGTGAATGTGCATTTTTTTAGTGAAGTGTTAAAAAAAAAGTATAAAATATATATATCAAAATATATAGAAAATACGACAGAGGGCAAGAAATTGTTACCCAAAACCCTATGAAAGACTCGATGAGCATTCTCACCCAAACGCCCAGCGAGCCAAACGCAGCGCATACCCAGCTGCACCATCTGAATACGCTGCAGCACCACCACCACTACGGCCTGCAGCCACCGCCGGTGGTTGGCATACATAGTACCACCACCATGTCCTCCGGCGGCAGCACCACCACGGCATCGGGCCTAAAGCCCAATCGATCCCGTTTCATGATCAACGACATTCTGGCGGGCAGTGCAGCGGCCGCTTTTTACAAGCAACAGCAGCAGCAGCAGCACCATCAGCAGCAGTTGCACCACCACAGCAACAACAACAACAACAATTCGGGATCCAGCGGTGGCAGCAGTCCCGCTCACAACAACAACAACAACAATAATAATAGCGAAAACTTTGAGACACCAAGTGGCGGTGTTGGCGGTGCCTTGCCACCTGCCCTGCACCTTCCACAACCACATCCACATTCACATCCGCATACGCATCCACATCCGCATACGCTTATGCATCCGCATGGCAAACTGGGGCATTTTCCACCCACCGCCGGCGGCAATGGGTTAAATGTGGCCCAATATGCGGCGGCCATGCAACAGCATTATGCCGCAGCTGCTGCTGCGGCTGCTGCACGTAATAATGCTGCTGCCGCGGCGGCTGCTGCGGCCGCTGCTGCAGCTGCAGCAGTTGCTACACCAACCGGCGATGTTGGGATCGGGATTGGATTGGCGCCACCATCGGGCGGCGATTTGGACGACAGCAGCGATTACCATGAGGAGAACGAGGACTGCGACAGCGATGAGGCGGGCGGCGGAGGAGGCAGCGGCCACATGGACGATCACAGCGTTTGTAGCAATGGTGAGGTGAGCCTCTGTACTATGAGGGCGGGTGGGAAGTGGTGGTAGTTAGGGGTCAGGGGATGCCGCTTAGTCATTTTCGATATTCTAGCTTCATTCTTAAAAAGAAACTCGAAATTGTTTCTAGTATTGAGTCAACTTTGGCCGAACTTAATATAAGGAGTTGACTTCTTTCCGTGTTTATGTACATTCGGATTAGTATTTGATATATATTATTATATAGTTTAAATATTTCAACCAGTTCTAAAATCTTGTATAAGAAACACAAAGAATTGAGAGAGAGAGTGACTAGTAAAAGCTTACAAAAATATGAATAATGATCAAAATCAAAGATCAAAAGGGCGAAAACCTGAAAAGTTCGAATGAAAAACAAACTATATTAAATATTTTCCATTGAAAGGCTAGGACCTACAGTTAAAGTTTACAATATTAAATTACCTAAAAGTGAACTTTATGTAGTTCTTTAAGTATCTTAAATCTTAAATGTTAGTAAACCAACACGAAAACTACTCTTAATAAGAGTCACTGCTCTTTATCATTTATTAAATAATAGTCATTTGTTTCATAAAAGTTAATAAAAAAACAAAGTTACTACAAGCTTAACTTTATAGAAGAATTTTTAGGCTATCAACAATTCCAACTTTATAGCATGAAAAGCTTAAACAATAATCCCAAATCTCTGTCGTCTTCACCACATTTTTCCTTTCAACAAACTTCCAACTGCAATTATTCTTGAATGCCTAAAAATCTAGACTGAAATAACTTGAATTCCCCCTTAAACCGTGTTAATGTTTCTGTTGGGAAACGCATTTCCCCATCGCCGATTGAAAAACTAATTCAATTAACTGAAAACCAAAACAAAACAAAAACAAAAACCAGGCAAGACCGTTGTGCTGCAGTCAAGTTCGTTGCCTAAGTCTTTTGTTTTAGAGCGTGCGCCTCGGAAAACCAAAGGAAAATGTGGGGGAGAAAAGCAGGGCAGAAGCACGGCGGCCCTCGTCGATGTCGCTTTGCAAAACAAACTGTAAAAATTATTGCATGACCATTTTACATTCTCGTTCTCTCGTTTTTTTTTTGTTGTGGTTTTAGTTTAGTAAAAAAAAAATGCATTTTCACGCTTTGTTTGCGTCATTGCGAAGCTTCTAAAGACCCAACACAGCCCCGGCCGCTTGGCCCCCGTTCAACTTCGGGGGCATGCACCTGCGTATCTATGAGTTATTATGGCAGAATGGGGGGCGTGGCCAGAGCAGAGGAGCTGGCTGAAATGCAGCAACAAAATGCAGTTTAAAAACTGCCGCTGCCGCAGAAAAAATCTCAAATAATTACACACATCTCACTAGCTTCCCCTCTCTCTCTCTCCCGCTGTTCTTGCCTCCTGTTATCTCACGCATATGCCCCACACTGCCCCCTTGCGATCATTTAATTGTGGAAATTGTTATAAAAATGCATTTAACCCCCTTTAATAGACGCCCCATGGCAATGGCAGAGCAAAAACAACAACAAAATGTTGCAGTCTGTTTGCTCATCACATCTCCGCTTTTGGCCAGCTTTGCAGGTTCCCTCTGGGCCCTGTTTTGTGCCATTTATTGCCGCAATTTCCTGTTGCCAATTGCACTTTTATAAACGGTAGTCGCGTCCAGGCCAGCTTCTTTGGGCCCGGACAGCCACCGGGCTGGCAAGGCGGCAATCCGTCAATTCATCGGAATTTCACAATTGCCAAGAACTGCAGTTGCAAAACAACTAACAAAAATAAACGATTATCGAGCACTGAAGGATAAACCATAAAAATTTAATAGAAAATCAATTAAATGTTAAAATATTGCACAGCTTTTAAGACAAGTTAAGCTAAATACTGTCAATTTCAACATATTTTTATTTGACTTTTATTTATTGGCTTTTGAAAAAGAAAAGGCAATCCTTTTTAAATCTTCCACAAATTATCGCCTCTGCAAATCGATAATTCACTAAGTCGGCGCCAACATTCGTGAGTAATTTTCTTTAATTGAAAATTAATTTTATTCAATTGCGGCATTATCGCTCATTTATCGCTGCCATTAATCATTTATCGTTTTCGTTTTATGTGGCTAACAACTTTCGCCTTGGCGGCAATGTCTAAGCTCTTGATTGCCGATGATTAATACAAATAATTAAAATTTTGTATCTTAATTTGTTTCATAATGCAAAGTTCAACGCTGCTGCTAGCTAAGACCAACTTCCTGATCAAATTTAAAATGAATATAAATTAGTATGTGCCATTTGCCCCTTTGCTACCCTCTAACTAAAACCAACCTTAAACGCGGCACTTGGCAAATTTTCGCTTTAAATAATTTAACGCTTGAGAGTTTGGCCCCCTGTTAGCCCACCCCCTGAACGTGGCCCAAAAACTCGCTCTCGCTTATCGGGTAACCACAATCGCTTGAATTTACATAAATTTTATATACTAAATGGCAGAGCCAGAAAAGGCCGCTTTTCCACCTTTTCTTTGCCGAACAAGAACTCTTCTACGACGACAAGGGGTTGCTTACTCTATCTCTCTTGCGCCTTTTTGTGGCAAGTTTAGACATTTTGCTGCACGTTTTTATTACACTTACACACACAACCCAAACCAAACCGCTTTGTGAGCGGAAGCGGCAATTGCGTGGCCATAAACGAGCCTCTCTAACTGTAACTGCAACTGTTCTAATAGATGGCTAAGAGATCTGAATCGAATTAGCCAGAGACGTAGACGGTCGATGGGCCATTCAAAATCGCCATCAAACGATTAGATCTCATAAGTTGGGATCCAAAATGGTTAAAACTAGAAGCTTTATGGTTTAAAGATGGCAATTATTCGGTATTAATTTTTAATACTTGCTATCTAATAGATACTGTTATATTTTGGGGCTTTTAATTAACTTTCTTGTAGAATAATAAACATAAATTTAAGAATTAATTAGTGAAAATATCCGAAAATATATTTCTAAACTTCAAATCTCCATCTTTTTCCTTTCAGGCGGTAAGGATGATGACGGAAATAGTGTCAAGAGTGGTTCGACTAGCGACATGAGCGGTCTCAGCAAGAAGCAAAGGAAGGCACGTACCGCTTTCACGGATCACCAATTGCAAACACTAGAGAAGTCCTTCGAGCGACAGAAGTACCTCAGCGTCCAAGAGCGCCAGGAATTGGCCCACAAGCTGGATCTAAGCGATTGCCAGGTGAAAACCTGGTACCAAAACCGAAGGTAAGGATTACGAACAATCGTTAACAATTATTAGCAAATTTTTAAATGGCTAAAATATTAAATATGGCTAAAATATTAAATAGAAAAAAAAACCTTCTAACGCAATCGCTATCTATCACTTTGCAGAACCAAATGGAAGCGACAAACTGCTGTGGGTTTGGAACTCCTAGCCGAGGCCGGCAACTTTGCTGCCTTCCAGCGACTGTACGGCGGATCACCCTACCTAGGCGCCTGGCCATATGCGGCTGCTGCCGGAGCCGGTGCTGCCCATGGTGCCACTCCCCATACGAGCATCGATATTTATTACCGCCAAGCCGCCGCCGCTGCGGCCATGCAGAAACCACTGCCCTACAACCTGTACGCCGGTGTACCATCCGTTGGCGTTGGCGTGGGCGTGGGTCCTGCCCCATTCTCCCATTTATCCGCCTCCAGTTCACTGTCCTCTCTAAGTAGTTACTATCAGAGTGCAGCGGCCGCTGCAGCTGCTGCAAATCCGGGTGGACCCCACTCCGTGCCACCGCCAGCACCGCCTTCGGTGGGCGGTGGATCCCCGCCTAGCGGTCTCGTCAAACCGATTCCGGCCCATTCCGCCCCCGCCTCTGCCTCACCGCCACCAAGGCCGCCATCGACGCCGAGTCCAACGTTGAATCCGGGCAGTCCGCCAGGACGTTCCGTTGACAGTTGTTCTCAGTCGGACGAGGAGGATCAGATTCAAGTGTGAGCAGTACAGGAGGAGAAGTCTGGGGATTGAGTGTGTGTGTGTATGTGTCTATCATTGGGTTATCGGCTCGAAAACGTGATTTTTCAAGGGGATTTTTTTTGTATTTAATATTTATTATATATTTAGGTAGCTACATATCATAATTTATGTTTGTTTTTTAATGTTTTTTCGATTAGAAAACAAAATTAAAAGCTTCCTTAGAAGTAATATACTTTTATGGCATTTAAGTTTGTTGAAAAGAATCACAAATTGCATTAATCTTACACCATATCATCCTCTTGCTGGTTCAAACTTAAGTACAAAACTGTTTTGTTTTTAAATTCAAATTAATAATTAAATATTTTAAAGCATTTATGAGTTAAGAACAACAAGCAATTTTCTAAGTTAACTCAACAAAAAGTGGCACAAAAATGTTCAGTATTGAAAAAGAAAAGCAGAAAAATCCCTTAAAAATCACGATTTTTAAGACCAAGCTAAAACCCATTTTGTACGTGTGTGTGTGTGCCTGTGTATATATCCATATCTCTGTGTGTGTGCGTGTGCTTGCTTAATTTATTTGATTTGCTTTTAGTAACTTATTCAAAATGTTTTTTAACACTTTTTTTTTCTAAACATACGATAAAGGAATAAACCTAAACAAATATTTATTTAAATGTTGTAAAAACTAGCAGCCAAAAAAAGCAAAAGAATTTTGTATAGTTAAGACTAACCACGAAATGTATTATCGGATAAAACTATATATATATAGACGAATATATATATTATTTTTTTTTGGTAGCCTAGAACCATAAACGTTGTAACTGTAAAATGTAAAATATATTTAACCGCATATTTTTTTGTCTAAATAAATAAAAAGAAAATAAAAAATAATACTATGAAAATAGAGCAATCGTAGTGATGGATTTCAAAGCGAGAGGGGCTGTCCCTGGGCAATTAAAATAATGACCAACAGAAACAATTTACAAACGATGTGGCGGGTGGGGGAGAAGGAGGTATGTATATATCGGAGGGATATATATATATATGACGACGTGCGAGCCAACCCCTAATGATAATAATTGCATGCAAAATGCATTTAACCGCAATTAGTGCATTTATTAGGCCAAAAGTTGATATATTGAATAACTGCCACCGTTGGCCACCAGTTGTTGGCCAAAAAGCAGGGGCGTCGGAGGGACTCTTTCGCTGCTTTATGGCCATGTTCGGCATTGCGTGCCTGCATGCAAGCCGCCGCTTGCTGCAGGCGAAGGACCAGCAAACGATCCTTGAAGTCCAGGACCAAGGACCAAGTATGCTACAAACTATACTATATGTATATATATGTTTATAGGGATCAAGAATAGCTAGCTGAATCCAAGGGCTTTCCAGATGGAAATTAGGAATTTCAAGCAGTTCTAAGTTCAAAAATCTCTAGAAAAGTACGTCTAAAATATACTCCTTAAAAGTTTACTTTGAAAACTCCGAGAATGTCCCAAAACCGAACAATCTTTGTAATAAAAATGTTTGAAAAATTATCAAAGATGGAAAAACAAGATAAGAAAACTATTTAAAATATATTTCTCTTCCCTTAACGCAACTTCAGTTTATCCTTTCCATTAGGGTATCTCAGGGTGGACTTTATTCGTACCCTAAGAACTCTCCTGTACTTGCATTATGTTCTGTTTTTGCTGGCAGCACGCGTGTTCTGGCTTTTTGGCCCGAACTAAGTCTCGAGTTTCCTCCTTTTTTTTTGCGCCTTCATCGACAAATTGGCCGCAATGTTCAAATTGCTGTTGGCCTAAAACAAAAGAGACGCTTGGCAGGATAATGAAATGACAACAACAACACGACGGTGGCCAGCGGGCAACCGTTCATTAAAGACAAATGACACAAAACCGAACTGCACGTCCGTCTCCTTCCCTCCACTATCGCCGTCCCACTCAATTAAACACGACCTGGCTGGCTGGCTAGCTGTTTCAGTTTCAGTTTTAGTCAGATGTTTTGCTAATTATGGTTAGTAATGAAAATTAAAAACAGTTAGCAGAAAGTCGAAGGAAAAGTGAATTGATATTTAGCAAGAAAATGAGATAAATCCCTAGAATTTTCTTCGGAAAACTCAAAATTTTTAATATGCCAGCTTATAATTTTCGCAAGTAAGCAGAAAGAAAATTGCCTGCGGTTTCATGTATAAATTAAAGACACATCATCAGTCTTTTGATATGCAAACTCATCGAATCCAAAGAGCTGGAAGTAAGCCATTGGGGAATTGGAGGACTTGCTGGATTGGAGGATTGCAGGATTGGAGGAGACGACCCCGGACGCATTTATGAAATGAAGCAGAAATATTGCCTGCTTACTGTGCTGTAACCAATTTGCATGGAAATCAGGCGCCGACTGTCAAAGTACCTGCCACACATGGCCGCGCCATCCTCGCATATAGACATCCAATTAGCCGCACATTTTTGTGGGTGGACCAGCAGTGTCATCATCATTGTTATCATCTACCACCTCATCTTCCCCATCCTCCCACGCAACCTCATCCTGGCTTCTCATCTGCAGCCACCACAATTCGCTTAAGCAGCCAATCAGCACAGAAGGGTGGTTGGATCAGAAAAGGCGGAGATGTCAGGGAAATTGCATGAACAGCAAGGAAACTCCCATAAAATGTTTAAAAATTATAGTGTAAAATCATAAATGAATGTTTAAAATTAATTATGAAAAAAACAGCATTTAAATGGATCCTTTTGCTGATTTTCTATTGTTTCTTAGAGTTTAATGGAACTAAAAATATAATTTTCTCATCTATTGATTTTTTTTTATAATTTTTTCAACTCACTCAACCTTATTTCCCTCCCTAAAAACTTCCAAAAACTCGCAGGTTAAAGACAGGGCCGAAAAACCTTTGGGGGCTGGACGAGCGGACCGGAAGAACGCCCACGATTCGCGGATTTTCCCCCAAAAATTGCAAACGGAAGTGGCCAACCACTCATCACACCCAACCACCCAGCTTCTACCTGAAATTTTCGTTCAGCGAAATGTGTAATTTACAAATAAAAGGGAAAACGAAATTAAAAGTTTATGCCCTCGCAGGAATGGGAAATCAACTTTGTTTGCATTTAATTTCCACTCTTTTTTCACCTTTGATTCTGATTCTGATTTATATATATACATATATGATTTCGAGTGACAGTGGACATATGCCATTAATAAGTGGCTTGTTTTTGCTGCTGCTTATTTAATTTAATTCAGATTCTTTTTTTCGATCCCGATTCTTGTAACAAATGGTCCGGGGGAGTTAATCTCCGTTCTGTATAATTTGTCACATTTTGCCATTTGCTGCATTAACTATTTACCCTCGCCCACCCCGACTATTATATATATATATATATATCTGAGTATCTGAATATCTGTATATAGATTGCATTTTAAATAATCATTTGACAGGGAACGGAAATTGCGCTTAATTGCCAGCAAGTTGGGTTTTTCATTTGATTTTTACCCTGTTTTATCTGTCGGCCTTTTTTTTTGTGTTCCTGTTTTATTATTTTCAACTCGTGTTCGGATAATTGCGCTTAAATAAATATTTGCCTGATAATTGCAAAATGTTTGTTATTCTCTCTGCGCTGGCCCAAACCGCTTTGTTGGGTTAATTGAACTTGGTCATGGATTTTGAAGAACGAAAAAGGCGAAAAGCTGTGAATTTTTCTGATTTTTTTATGGCCAAATTTTAAAATTTAGTTAAATATTTTGAAAACTAACTAAGCATCTGAATCCTTGGCTTAATATTTCTATAGTTAATATACTTTAAGAAAATGTATTCCTATTTTTCAGATTTCTTTAGATATTATAAACTTGAAATTTCTTAAAATTAACCAAAATTTGTATAGAAAAAGTAATTAAAAAATAATTCCCTTAATTACAAAACTATCACAATTTCTTGTCAAGTATTTCTATACCAAAAACTTCCCTACTTCAGGGCATTCCCCTAGCGGCTTTCCACAGTTTTCCCGCTCCTCCTCCAATTTGCGAAGCGCAGGAACGCCTAAAAGGCGGCATGCAAAAATTGAACGTGTTTGTTTTTCGCTCCCTTTCAGGCTTACAGCTCTTCAGCTCTACCAGCTCTTCCAGCTCTTGGGGCAACGATTATATTCAATAATTGTGTGCATTTAGATAAGTTACAAGCCTCGAGGGCCGCAGACAACCGGGGCCGGCCACTCTCTGGGCCACTTTCCCGGGCTTTTTGGCCCAAATGGTGGCCAGTCACGCCATCGAAATGCAACTAACTGACTAACTGACTGGCTGACTTGGCTGACTGGCTGCATGGGAGCCCATGGTGTGTAGGTGTTGAAAGCGGCTGCAGGCCAGAGAATCCGGTGGAAATACTTGGCTATCCAAGAGGGGGGGCATTGCAAGAGCGGTGGGGGAGACATCGCCTGGCCTGGCAAATTGGCCGGCGCAGAAATGTGTCGGAAGTCTTTAGTAAAAGTTAAATAGAAAGCATATAGGAGATTTATATGCCTTCGCCTTCGCCTGTAGTTATGCAAATTATTCGCCGCTTAAAGGTTTTGCATTTTGAGGCAAGTTTAATGATAAAAACTTGTTCTTTACAGATTAGAATGTACTAAAAAATCAAATTTAGGTATGTGAAATCAAAGAACTTCTATCATTTGGAATGAAAACAGAAAAGAAAAGATACTTTAACTAGAAAGTAGCAAGTTTAGAGTAATCTACAGAAAGGTTTCCTTAAGATTTCATCTTCTTTTTTCCCATAGAACACTCCCAAGTTTAAAATAAAGTCTAAAGAAAACCCTAAACTAACCCAATCTGTGACAAATATTAGCCATTTGTTACAAATTGAATAGGCTTCCGAGAGGTGTAACCTCCGAAGTTCCCTTTTCGAGACCATAAATCTCCGTTACTTCCGGTGGTTCGCACACTCGTCCTTATGCATTCCTAATGGCTTCCCTTTTCTGGCCGCTCTAAACTGCATATGCCTTGAGATCCCCGAGTGCAGTGGGTGGATTTAACACCCAATAGACGAGCAGACTTTCGAGATTTTCCGCGAACTGTCATCGTCTTTGTCCATTTCGGCAGCCGTTGCCTTGATTTATGTGCATTATCTTGGCCACGTGTGCGCACAAATTGATCCTTTATGAGCATTTTGCGGTTAATAATGCAACGGCACGTGCCGCACTGTCGAAATGCCCAAAATGCCAAGCGTTAAGTGTAAATGATAAGCTCGTCCTTGAGTGGGCGGATCAAGTGAGTGTGTGTGGATGTGGGGAGGATGAGGTTGTCCTTTTCTTGGGGGGTTAAGTGTTAGTTTGTTTTTGTGTGTGTGTGTGACTATTCCGAGTGACTCGAAGTGCTTGACATGTGACACCTTTTGTGTGTGTTAGTTTTTCCTTTTCCTTTGGACTTTAAAGCGCTTAGTGCCCGGGATAAATCCCAAATGCCACTTCACACTTAATTTGCTCATAATGCCCAACGTAATCCCTTGACTGGGCCGTAGGACAACAACCCCGCTTTCCCTCTCTCTCCCTGCCTGCTAATATCCTGCCAATTACGCTGGCAACAATAATATTTTCCCTGCCATTTTCCACCACCGAAACGGAAAGGGAAGGGAAATCACCACCGAAAAACAGTAGCAAAAAGTTTTAAAAGGAGATTTTGACAAAAACCTGGCAAGGATCAGATCAGATGGGTTAGATCTTATCATTTTCCCCTCAGTTCACATATGTGCCCGGTCTAATGTGACAAATTCATCGAGTCCTCGATGTCCTTTTTCCAGCATCGCTGATAAGGCAGCAAATACCTTCCTTTTTTGGCCGCATTT